CTTAAACATCCACCACTCATTAATTAGGCATTAAGTCCGCCTTTTGTATCATATTTTAGTAGTCAATAACGCAATAAATAAAAAAAGATATCAAATAAACAAACAAAGAAATAAGCACGCCTGAATTCATAATACCTGTGTGAATATCGGTACCTATTAAACTTACCGTGATAAAGTTATAATAAAAGTTTTGCGGCTAATCTGCAATTTGGCTTCGACAAATTATCACTCGATTTCAGCAAAAAAGAGAAATATCTGAGTTCTTTTAGGAGCCTAATTCCATTGGACTGGATGCTGATATCGTCAGTAGCTAAGCGTTACGTGAACCAATGAACCAATTTGTAAGGATGTTCGGAGTAAGTCGAATTAATAGTAATTCTTAGGAAGGTGAGCGAAATGTAATAATTTTGAGGATACCTAAGACAGAAATAGTGCTTTGCGATTTGGTTCGACATTGTGTTAAAATGTCTACTAATAATTGTATGGTGAAGTAATATTGCACGATAATATAAAAAATATTATGTCATTTTACTCATCTTATTAACAGTGGTCTAAATGAAAATGAATATTTTTTAAGAAACAAAACAATCACACTGCTCTGCATTAAACGTTCTATATTTAAATTTATTAATTTTATTTGATATCTAATTAATGTTTAATGGCTATTACGATCGTAAACATTACCAGTACTTATATCAGTATACTATATAATATTAATGTACAAATTGACTGTATGTAGATTACCCTGCAGAATTAGTGCACCTTCTTGGAGCTTCTCCAAAATCAAAACCTTTTTTGAAAATTAGGCTTTATATACCAACTACATCCTTACAGTAAATGTAATATTTATTTAACTTCAATGCACAAAACAATGTGTAGGTACATATGGCAGACTTAACACCTTGTGGCGTTATCTACCAGTCAACCATGAGTGGTTCAGGGAACGATTGTTGGCGGTGCACTAATATAAATGAGAAATGTAAAATATATATATATATATAAATTCCTATAATAACATAATATACATACATAAATATCTAGCTAAATATGATATATAAATAATACAATGATCTGATAAACAAATTTTAAGTACAGCCTCAAATTGAAAGTAAGAAAAAATATATATATGAGACAACAAAACAAAGAATATAATTATATAGAGAAAACTATAAAGGAGGGAAAGGAAATAACAGAAAAATGTAAAATAAGGACAAGGACAGTATAAGAGAAGTTTAAATAAATATATAAATAATAATACTATAAAATTATTATTTGAATTTATAAAAATGTAATATGAAAGAGAAAAAATTTAGATGAATGATGTAATGTATCAATCAATGTAGTAAGTACACGTATGTGTACATACGTGTACTTACTACATTGATTGATTATTAGCTACATGGATCACAGTTTTAAATAAAAATGTTTTTATAAACTTTTAGTGCATCTTACTACTTAATAATATTATAAACGCGAAAGTTTGTTAATATGGATGGACGAGTAGATGTTCGTTACTATTTAATGCAAAAACTACAGAACAGATTTTCGTTTAAACTTTACATTAATGAAGCTTATACATCAGAATCATACATAGTCTATAAATTAAAAATACATTATATAAATTAGGCGAAATATAATAATAAATGTTCAGTAAGTGTAATGCAGACGAAGTTGGGTTCAGCTAGTTAATGAAATAATGGCATGAGCATATTTATTCACATATTTTATGACTGAAATATTAATTGCTGGAAGCGTGACACGACACTTGTGCATCATTTATAGATAAATATCTATTTATAATCTAGTTTGTGGCTATATTGTCCAGTCGTAATGGGGAAAGTTCCGATATTTGCAAAATCATAACAGATCCACTACATTGTCGTTTTGTCTATTTCCGATCGTACAGTCGATTTGTTCCACGACAATAACATTGGTATGTCATTATTGGTATTTTATTCTTGGAAAGCGTTCCCTAGTTATACAATGTCAACTGTAGACCACAAAGATTGTGGATACGAATCTGGCCGAAACCATAAACTTTGTCAATTTGCAATGGACTTTCGGCTGATGGAAATGCTGTTAATAATGGAAAATTGAAAAAATTTAAGAGATTATTTATACATTTTATTTTTTATTCCTATATATTATAAGTAATTGTAACCTCGAAATCGTCTGTTATTTTTTTAATATATGAAATAGGCAATGTCTTTCGTAGTGAAACAATATATTTTAACCTCAGATTTCATTCAGCTCAGCCATTTAGTATTGAAACGGTAACAGATCAACTCACTTTCGTATTTATACTTTTATACATACACTAGTGTGAAAGTATGAATGACGCCTTGCAATAGGGAAACAAATAATATAACAATTGATTTATTAGAAAGTAGGGGTGCTTGAATTAAACGGGGGCAACTTGGAATGGCAATGAAGGCTGCCGCCCCACACACGGGCCCCAAGAAAATGACTTCGTTATCAGATTGAGGGGAACCTTGTGAATTTAGAAAACTAGGTTAACGAAGGACTTGTTCTGTTTGTTACAAACTTGTTTGTTTTATCTGTGGCTAGCTTCATCGTGGTTTCGTTTGAATGGGATTCGTTTTCTCTCATTCTCGTAAGAGGGACAATTTCTGGAAATTTATTCGTTTTAGTTAATTGCGCTGATTAATCAGTAACGTAGATGTAATTCTCTAGTAGGCAGATATTAGATGTATCTGAATAGTAGGCCTGCTAAACCATCTGAGTTTAAACCGTTTTCTTACTCGTAGTTCAACTCTACTATATGGAGCAAATAGTTATATTTACATCGTACCTTAACTTTGAGATTATAATTGCTATTGAAAACTATAGAAAATATACGGTAAATATTGTTTAATATATTTTTTGCATTCACACGAAACCATATTTTTATATTTTAATATTGTCTATGTTGAAATAAATTTCACGTAACTCTTTTTTTGGTTTTTATCGTTTACATGAAAACGATAAAATTAATCTTAAGCATTTTTATTTATTCTATTTATATTAAAATTAGTTTATTGCACTAGCATATTATTTGTATAAATAGCGGTTTTTTTATAAAAAAAAAAAACAATCGATCGCTATTTGAAATCAGTATGAATGACTGTTACAAAGTATATTCAGGGGAGATTGAATTACGCGAGAATCGATTTGTTGCAGATGTGGAACGCCAACAATAGGGCTGAAATCATTGAAGTGCTTCCTTGCACACTTTCCATGATATTGTGAGTTAGGCCTGTTGTTCACTTGTGAGATAAAAACTAGGTACTGCGGAGAAATATCAATGACAAAAAAATATATATATAGTATAAAGCAAAGTAGACGTCGCTGTCTGTACCTAAGCGTAAATCTTTTAAATTAAGCACCGAATTTGAATGTAGTTTTCAACCACAGGTAACAACAAATTTAAAATTGGTGACATGGAGTACAATATTTTATTCCATTCCACCAACTTTAAATCAAAATTAATCTAAGTAATTTCAACCAGACAAATCCAAATCGTACTCACAGATGAATGTGTTACGCGGGAATCAAACCAGCTAATCACACCATTGGTACACGACCAAAGTCAACAAGAAAAAAAAAATCGTGAACAGAAAATGTTGTGTACCACAATGCTAAGTTATCGATTTAAAGCGATAAATTTAGTGGATCATTTACCTACTTCACAGCTCATTTTTCTCGTACCTATCCGGATAGACCCTCCTATACCTATAGTAAGTACATGTATACGATACGTGTATGTATCATGGACTAAAGAAGACATATCGATTGGCATTTCCTACTATCTTCTATTTTTGCTTCCTGTAAATGAAACTGTGACAGGAATTGATTGTGAAACTTTATGTAGGCATTTTCCGTGTACAGGAGTAATGTCTATTATTAGATATATTTTTGATATTAGATTTTTTATTAGACAATTTATCGTTTGTAGTTTAGTTTGTAGATAGTCTTTATCATAAAATATGTATATGTTTAAATGTGTAAATGTAATAAAATAGGGTTGCAAGAGGTTGGAGTTTCATACAATAAAATATTTATGTCGCTATTAACTTTGTTGGTAACTTGAACCGTACTAACATTATAAAGAGATAAAGCACAAATTGATATCAGGAAAATCTATAAACATTACATCGATTTCAGGAATTATGGCAATGACAAAGTTATTAATAATAGCACCTAACTAATGGAAAGTGCTAATCGTCAAAAATAGACATAAACAGTGTCTTGGTCATCACAAAATTGAGCCTGATATTAAACCTTCGTACCCTACAACGTCTCTGCTATAACCCTCTCTTAAAACCGGAGCATTGTTTGCAAAATAAGCTTGTGGCTACAGAAATAGGTGAGACAGAGCAATAGTACATTATATAATGTCTCTTTAAGTTGACTAAGAACAAAGCCATAGCTGGATGCTATGTACAATAGAATATTATGCATACAATGATAAGAAGGGTTGAGCAAAGGAATTTAACGATGTCAAATGAATGTCAGGCGCTCAGAGCGAGAAGCCCGTCCAATCCAAAATAATAAAGGACTTAATATGAACAAAATTCCTTAATATTTTATCGAGAATGGTCGATAGAGGTTCTATTCAATAAGTCCAACTATATATATGCCAACATGTACAAAGTTACGACCAACTCCCGTTGGAGTAGGCTAAATGCTCGAATTCATAATCCGCCCAATTTTAATTTGATTCCATTAAAAAGTATCCACTTACAGAAAATTCAGACACAAGAAATATAACGAAGAATCACTTTCGGATGACATTATGGATTACTTTGAAAATATTCTATAAAATTAATCCTGAGAGCGCGTCACTAAGAGAATACTATGAAAGAATTTGATGTAGATGATAAACCTTTCCAATAATATGCATACTTAAAACTTAGGTAAAACAGGCATCACTGAACATTTTCTAAGAGATGTTTTTATATGAGGTCAATATTAAGAATATAGATAAATGTGTATCTTACCATCTGGCACATAAACATTTAAATACAAGCAATCTTCAGAATATTCTTTCTTTCTTGGCTCCTCTAATTGAGCCTCCAACAATTTATTGAACAACTCATCATGTTTCGGTAATGGATTCTGCACATCCTCTCCCTTAGGATCTGCTTGCATGCAATCAGGAGCAAATATTGTCATATTTCTAACCTCTTCCCATTTTGGAAGGTCTGTAAACTCAGGGGGAGCAAATCTTCTGAAGTCCAGTGGAGGCTGTGCGTAAGGTATTCCTACATACGCGGCTATTCTCTTTGTTCGAAATCTCGTGATATACATTCCGGATATTGCTCCTTGATTCGCAAGATTAATCTGACGGGGCTCCCTTGCGGATAATGCAAGACTTATCAATAATGGCAACACTACAACATGAATCATTTTGAACAAAAATTCGAAGCACACAGGTCCGTCAGTTCCAAATTTAAAACTGATCTTCGTAACGTTCGTAATTCGTTTTGGTTAATATGAACATAGAACAGTTGAATTCGATTTAAATCCCGATGGAACGTCCATTTTTATTTTAAATGCAGTTTATTTTCTAGTTTTAGTTTTGTGGTTATTATTTTCACGGTGGTACCATTCGGGGCGGGTGGTGTTCGTTCGAGTTCGAAGGTGGTGCGTTACTGTTTCTCGTGCAGACTTCGGTTCGTAAACAGTGGGGCTGTCCGTCGTTATAGCGACCAAGGAATTGCTTTTGTGGGTTATAGAGTGATTTAGAAGTGGCTACTTCATATAAGTAATAAGTTTCAGGACAATAATTTTATCGTTTCCAGATAACCGCAAAAACTATAGTATACAACTGCTTACTTTGATATGAGAATGTGACTAATTTTTTAATGGATGTATGTAAAAATGAAATGTAAGCAAATTACTTAATTCATTTTATGTAATACTAGCTGTACCCGCGAATTCGTCCGAATGGAATTTAACTTTATTTTAGAAAAATAAAGTTAAATTCTACTTTGGCTTTACTTTCTAAAAAAAGTCTCGGCAAAATCGGTTCAGCCATTTCAGAGATTAGCCGGAACAAAACAGACAGACAGACAGATAAAGTATCTAAGAAATTTTATTTTTGTATACCGTATTTATATGCATATGCATGTAGTAAAAAATGGTTATTTCAATATTACAAACAGATACTCCAATTTTATTTATATGAATAGATGTAAAATACAGAAGAAATATTTATTGACAAATAACAAGACATTGATAGAGAACTGGAAATAAAACTCGTAAATAGCACAACATTATATTTTTGAACACACTATAGTAACTTAAATACTCACCGCAATTATTATGCATTCCACTTTCTATCAACTTGATTACAATTCCAACTTTTACTAGTATTTATTCTACTAGTTTTATTAAGAATGATTAGTAGTTATCACTAGAATACTAATAAACTGACTACCCACCTTCTGGAAAGTGGAATCTATAATAATAGTGGTTAATTCTTAACCTACTACACGAGGTACAGAAACATCACGTTCCTTATTTGTTTAATAATTAATACATCTAATTTCTATTCGCGTAAATTTGCGGGGTTCACGTAAATTGGAAAATAAATTGAACAAATACGACTTCGTTCCAACAGAGCCGTGTCTAAACATTATGAAGTGAATATTAAGTAGGCAGCAAGCTTGTGACGCGAAAGTATCGCGTGACTGAAACTAAGCTTGAAGTCATTGCATTCGGCTTCTCGTCGCCTTTTTACATTCCGCATCTCCCCCACAATGGGTCACTGTATCGATTCATACATAGCTATTTTTATGAACAATACTTTACATGTAGTATAACTATTTAAAAAGTAAATAAATTTGGTAAGAATAAAAATTTGTTACATATACAATATGCTTAAGGTTTCGTAGTAGAATAAAATGTTGAACTTGATCAAAAGTTTTACTAAAATCTAATAGTCAATCTATTACGTCACCGTTACAACGAGCATTAACCGATAAGCATAGATCCCAACAACGGAAACGAGATTAATATCTGTGGATATATTTGTAATAAATCCATGTTGATTATTCAAATATACATTATCAATATAAGACAAAAACATGATAATATTAAACCAATTATTTTAGTCTATAATTATTGACTAGATTGTCTGAAACATTCTTGTTTAACGGCATTAATTCAGTTTAATAGACCATGGGCAAAATCACCATATATAGATATGAACGTATTATAAATTAAAGAAAGAGGATAATGTAAATATTCCGCATATTTACTACTAAAATTGGAAGAATTTTATTAATATTAATTCTTTTATGAAAATTATGTATTAATGTTTTTTTTAAAACACGTGCTCGAAAAATGAAATTAATTTCACCTGTTTTTGATATACAAAGCAGCTCATAAAACACCAGTGTGTTATAAATGCAAGTAGTGAAGTTATATTCCATGACAGCACTATTTGTTATTTTTTTTATCAAATTTCGAACTGACCGCCGCGTGCCACACGATTATACTACTTTAGTGCATTTTTGTACCACGAATTCAACAAATATAGTGCCTAGTACTAGTAGTTACTAGTGTTATCAATCGGTTCTTTAAAGTTCTGTGATTAATTCCATTCAATACTGCATAGGATAAAATCACTAGCAATAATTAACTTTGAACGTGTTTAATATATGGTTTTGTATAGTTGGTAGTAAGTAGACACTATAGATATAAATATTTACTGTCTTATATTAATATATTAGATGCAGATACCCCCACCACATCCTCACATTTATATTCAATATCAGTAGATTTTCCCTCCGCTAGATTTTTTAGAATGAAATCTAGCCTAATTTCAATCTAGAAAATCTGGCGGAAGTGATGGTGATACCCTGTTACGTCTGTAAACATCATATTTATTGACATCGGTCAGTTCAGAGTCGTTAACGCTACCGTATAATCACATTTCAGTACTCATTTATTACATATTATGTAACTATGGAATTCACATATTTTCATTTTTATAGGTCTAATATTTTGCTAAAATATTATTTACAAACAATTTAGATCGCTGTGTATTGTATTGTTTTCCACAGTTAGATGTCCTAGTGCACCAAACAGGCTCAAAAGTGAGGAGCGTAAGCGACGCGTATATCGCGGCTTTACGCTCTTCGCTTATTTGCTATGTTAACGTTATGTTGAAGCTGTTGGTAACGGTTTAAATATTTTAATAAATAACTTAAATAATAATTTAACCTAATACATGACCTCGACTTATTGATGGAGCATATATCGGTACAATTTTCATAAACCATCTCTTCGTTAATTTCAGCAGAAGATATGTAGGGTGATATTCAAGCAATCACCTCTATGTGAATGAGAAACCCAACGCGATAATGGCCGAACTCGTTCGCTATAGTTAATTAGAATTAAGTTATAGTTAATTTAAATAGAATTCAGATCCAAGAATTATTGTTTCGTATCTCCGAATTTCAGATAAGCTCAGAATCCACGAATTTATATAAGAAAATTTTAAAATTGTCTTATCATCTATCATATTTTTCATCCTTATCTTCCCTCAGTGTCTGGTGTTATACGTGCCAATGGTTAGTTAGTAGTAGTTTTGATGGTGGCTTATCTACAGGCAGGGAATTTGTAGCACTTTGTGATATGGATACTGAATGTCACTATTTGGAAGCTTAGGAGGTACAATAGCGACAGATGTGGTGTGGTGTGCGGGGTGCGTATCAGTACTCTAAAAATATTAAAATCAGCTGTCAAATCCCGAAGACTCTACAGGAGCATGCGTTCACGAGCATGATTATTTTGATGTAAAACTTATATATTTATAGTCGTCTAAATAGAGACGATTTCAATTGGAATGCTTACTTTGTTATGTGTAAAATTATATTTTGTTCTTTCTTAAACTGAATATTGTATTAAAATAACTATAATATTTTTACCTGTATGGTTGAAACAACTATTTGGTTACTTTAAATTTAGCAATTTTAGAAGAAATATCCAAATACACTTACTTATTGAATGTAATTTATATGTCTGTATTTCTTGCTAATTGTGAGACGAGTTTGATTTCATTAACAAACAAGCTTTTGCTTAGATCTTTACTTTGTTTCAAGTATCTTAACTAAATTAAACTTCGTTATTTAATCTACATAAAGTTGCATTGGCTATATTATCAGATTTTTACTAATGTTTAAAAAAATACAAGTTCATAATTACGTTCCGCATAGAAAAGGTCTTGTATTCAATACTGCTTGATTTTATGGCTCCTAAGCACGGCATACTACGGTATTGGCACTATATAATTTGTAGTTATAGGACTATTGTAGTTTTACATAAACATTAATAACGACTTTTTCGTGCCATCAAATAAAGAACCTTATTTGTAACAGAATTAGTATCATTATAAATATTACTCATATTTTGTAACTCTGGTGAATAATTTATATAATTAATACGTACATATAATTAAAAGTACTTATTCTAAATACAGTGCATGATTCCCTAACAAAGCCAAGATGTTATGAATTTTGTAATTGTAAGTTTGATAAAACTTTAGTATAAATTATATAATTTACTATATTGAGATAGTTATAAAGGATACACGGAGAAGGAAAAAGGAAAGTCAGTAACAGTCTTCATCAAACTAATAAAGTTTCCAGAAGAGACAAAGTGAAAAATAGAAAATAATTCTTGAGCCTTTCATATAATATATAAAACGATATATATTATTAACTTTGATTATTTTGCAGATATATTATTTTTAGTTCCTCTAATTTTTTAGTAAGAGTGGTTTCATTTAATGTTATGAATGTTGGTCCAGCTGATACCCTTTACGAACAACCATAACACAAAAACAGAAGACTACAATCTTGACTTCAATGATGGGATACTTAGATGTACTCTGCACATGCTTTCTATACTCCAAGCCGTCAACTCCCGCATGACAAATTCGATTTAGCCCGAGGGCATCTGCCGCCGAGGGTATAATAGTCTAAGCCGAGATTCGGATACCTTTTTTTGGGGAACTAATAATGCTGGTACATACTAGGAGGTTGTTCGACCTTGCACCCTAGGATCAGACCCCTAGCTCAACTCAGGCGTAATCTCGTTTTCCATAGGAATGGGATTGGGGGATCGATTACAGGGGCAAAACAATTGCACAAAGTCGCCACCATACAAGTTCGATCACTGGAAAGTTTATTAAATGTGCTCATTAAAATTAATTAATACTGCATATGTAAATAATATTTTGTGTACCATAAAAGTTATTTACCCGAAATTTTAATACTCACTATGAAATTATGTTAAAATTTCGAAGGTATCATTTAGAAAACTTTAATTTTAGGGATACATGGAGTTTTCAAAGCCCACGCAACAGTCCGAAGTTGAAGCTTTTGTTATAAGAGTTT